TTTCCTTTTTCGTAGCTGGACTCGGGCAAAGTGGCCTCGTTACCGCGCTGCGAAAACCACCGCTTTCCCCAAAAGTGAGCTCTCCGTGCGATTTCTCGGCGTTCTCGGCGACAAAGAGCCAAATCCAGTTGAAAGACGAAGCGGCGATTGATAGCGGATTCACCGTGCTCGCGATATTTCTGCGATACAATACACGTTACGCGCGCGTTAGAATTTGCGATCAGAGTCGAATTCACGCGGGTCGGTTGAACGGTTTATTGGCAAATTTTCAACGTCGTTAGGTGCAAAGTGCAAGAAACTAGTCATCGACGCGGTTGCGTGTAATCTCGCGCTGATCTCGTGCAGAATTCCAAACTGGCGCTGGGCTTGCGCTCGATCCGGCCAAACTTTCTCCATGGGGAAAGCTTCGCGGCGACGGTGTACGTTTCTCGTCGAGGCAATCGACGACTCGTGGTGCGGCGCGATCGAGATTCCGGGCGACCGCGAACGCGGAACGACGCGGAGAGACGCGAAGGGTACGCGGGGCCACTTTCCGCGGAGGATCCACCTAGTAGTCGTACCTTTAAGTTACGAGTAATAGTTATTGCGATTGTGAATACACTGCCGAGCGCGCTTAGAGCTCTATATATAGCTCCTGTCTTTCATTTTATTATTTCTAACAAGGACTCCGCTGTGTTTCTCTATCAGCCAGGAGAGACGGACGTTAGCCGTACGATACGAGATACCGCGGTCCGTTTAACCCCTTCGGCGACCAGCGTCGTCATGATTGAAGCACCTGCAACGTACCGGTAACGTCACCATAACTGAAACCTTTACGGTCCCAGGGATGCCGCGTGCGCGGCGTCATTATCGAAACGTCTCTCTCTCTCCCTCTCTCTCTCTCTCTCTCTCTCTCTGTCCGTAACGCCGCAGCGCTACACCGTGTGGGACATCAACGTAGAAAGCTTTACGACCCCAACGGTGTCACGATTGAAAGCCCCCTGTTCTCTCGCTCTCTCGGCGCCTAGTATCTCGTCAGGATCTCGGCAGATTTGCGAGATTAACTGATCGCCACGCACGTGGCTTCGCCACGAGCGAATCGTCTCGCGACTGAAACGGCTCCGCCCGAAGGGGTTGTTGTTGTGTCGCGTCGCTTGCTCGAGACGCGTTATCGCACCCGCGACACACGGACGTTCGTATCTCGTATCGACTCTCGCACACACGATCCGCGCCGCTGGCTCTCATCCGGGAACGACCGCGCGTCAGAGAAATTCTAGAGTCTCTTTTCTCCGTTTTTTTTTTTTTTCCCTTGATTTCGCTTTTCCACTGTCGTTCGTTGCGATGTTGTTCGTATCCAGAGCTTACGCCTCGTAATGTATTTATAGATCGCTTACTTGGTTTTTTTTCTTTTTCTTTTTATTTTCCTTCGTTAGCCACGCGATCTTGTCGGCGCACTTGTGGGGGGAGGGGGGGGGGGAAACTACGCGAGGCGATGCGCTCGATTTCAAGGCGCATAATCCGTCAGACATCTGTCGCGAACATACGTACGATAACATCAGACGTGGCTAGCGACGGCGTTGTATACGATTTAACGTACATTTGCGTCCCTTGGCGAACCCTCGGGCCGACGACAAGGACGGATCTACGATCGCATGGAGGACGCGCAAGAAGGGCCTCCAGCTGCATCGCGATCGTCATCCGCTCCGTCGGCCGGCGCTTACATCTCGAAACACGCGCGCGCGCACTACCAGCGAGACCAGTCTCGAGGAAGAATTACGCGAGCGCGAGTGATACGACGCGCGTTTCGTGCTCAGATCTCTGCAAGTAAACTCGCGATCTTCGCGATGGTGCGACAGCAGAGTTGCGCACGAAACCGTTACGTTGTGGGTGACGCTCTGTCTGGGATTCTCTCCACCACGGACTTCCGAACTTTTTGCACCTCTCGGAAATCCCCCGTTGAAATTGCATCGAAGATCGCGGCCGTCGCGGTTGGCGTCGGAGGCTCAGAGAGGCAGACAAGTGCGCGCGCGCGTGCTTCGATGCGAGGCTCTCGATGAGACGAGAGCCCGTTGACTCTAATCTCCGTACGTCGGGAAACCTCCTCCGCACGGAGGAAACGCAAGAAAGAGAGTAAACCGAAAGAGAAGGAGGAATGAAAGAAAGGAAGGAAGGGCAAAAAAGAGGGCGAGTCCCTGAGCTGCCTGGCTGAGAGAAGGTTCTCGCACCGCGCGCGAACTCTCTCGCGCAGGTGCGGTGCGAGGGAAAGCGCGCGCGGTTACACAATACGGAGCGTTAGATCTGTGTAAATTCTGAGCTTGCGCCGATGATGCATGTTGTGCTTAAGCGACTACCGAGGTGATGGTGCGTAACGTCATCCCCTCGACGCTCTGGACGATGATCGCGAAGTCTTTTGCCAGTCTTGTCTTGTTTGTCGCGGAGGACCGTCGACAGCGGACCCCCTCATCGCGCCGCCGCGACGCGTTTCGACATCTCGGGAGGACGGCCCGTCCTCGTTAGAGTCACGTCGAATCCGCTAATCAGCACTGTAGATCGCTTACATACACTCGCTACTGTTCTCTCTTTTTTGTTTTTTTCTTTTTTTCTTTGGTTTTCTTTTTCTTCTCCTTTACTTTACCTTATTAAGTCTTATTTTTTGAAACACTACTCTTTCTTTTTTTACCTCTGTCTTTGTGTACGTATATTACGAGTCTCGCCCTTTTTCTCTCTTGTCCTCCCGTCGCTCATACTCAGTCAGTCAGTCAGTCAGTCAGTCAGTCAGTCAGGATCCGAAACGCGATCGACGGACTCGACGGTTCGCGCCCCGAGACGTGATTCCATATCGCGCGCTGCAACTTTCTAACTTTGCGCATCAGCAACGGGGGAATGGATTTCCGCTGTACAAATAGGGATTTCTTTCGGAGAGCTCGCATAACTTTCCGGATATTTTCGGTGTACGGACTTTTCAATGCGCGCGCGCGCGCGAGAGGAGGAGGAAAAGAGTCGTTTCTCTCTGGAGGGGTTTCATATAAATTTATAAGAACAAGCGCGCGCTTCGCGGAAATATATCGATGACGGTGGAAGAGAAATTCTCAAACGCGTTAATATCGGAGCAACGGGACGAGAATGGATATATTCACTGTTGCGCGCGCTGTTTCCTTTCTGAGAGAACGCGCCGCGAACTTTTCGCATCGCGACACATATCCGACACGTGAGCGGGGAAAGGCCGAAAATACGGATCGAGCGATGTGTGATCCGGCTACGTAGCAACATATCGATGCCACCCTTCTCGCACGAGCGTGATAACGTCCGCCATCGTAACGCATTCGACGGTGTCGAGAGGTGAAATGGTAACAAAGAATATAAAAAAAAAGGAAAAAAAGAGAGAAGAAAAATGAGCGAAAGGAAAAAGAAGGACGCGGCGTTTGTTCACCGGCGGTCGTTCACCAAAGTATTTGTCACTAATCAGAATCAGCCGCAGCGAGAAACGCGCTTGCTCGCTTTCGCGCACACGCTTACGCAACACGGCGACGTTTTCGCAATTACGTTTATTTGCTCCGTTAGTCACGCGCGCACGATGAAAAGCGAGACGAGAAGAAGTCGTCGTCTCGTGGTCGTTCGCGACGCAAATCAGGAATCTCGCGCTCGTGTCTCTCTCCGAGGAGATCCGGTGGTGTCCGTGCGTCGTTACGACTCCGTGTCCCACGTCGGTGAGCGAGCCCGCGAAACACGTGTTAACACGCATATACATATATGTATGTATCTGTGCCGCCGCTGTGACAATATATTTCACCCCGGCCACATTCACTATCAGCTTCTGAGCTTTTGCATCTCGTCTACGCAGCTTCTAACTCGAACGTGTTACACCTCGATAGAGACTTTGATTTGGCTTTCCCCTCTTTGTTGCGCACGCGTCTGTCGCAGTCGACTTACCAAAGTGCCCGCTCACGTATATGTATATACATGTATATGTGTGTATATATATATATATATATATATATACATATCACACCGCAAGCCCACCAGCTTTCGTGAATTCGTGTTGTGCAACTCTCTCGCATCTCGTCGGTATCGCGGAGCCTTTTTGTTCTTCGAGTCTCTCCAACTCTCTGCGCCTTTTATCGATATATATATATATATACATATATATATATATATATATCTTGTCGATCATCCTCTTGCTCTTTTCTTTCTCTTTGTCTTTTTCTATTTTTCTCTCTCTCTCTCTCTCTCTCGCTCTCTCTCTCTCTCTCTCTCGCTCTATCTCTCGCTCTCTCGCTCTCTCTTTCTTTCTGCTCTCTATATTCTGTACATCTTTCTCTTCATCTATCAGTCTCTCCGTTTTGCCCGCGAAGAGAAAAGAAAGACTCTCATTTGTTTGGTATTTGTTGCGCGAAAACGGACGGAAAGCTTACAGATCGAACATTAGCATTGGCATTTAATTGCATCGCGCGATTGCGACACCCTGACTACTACCTTCGCTCTCGCGATATTTTCAATTAGGAAGGCGACAGTGCAGTTTTCCAATCCGGTGTTTTGATCGTTTATTAACGACAGTATGACGGTCTCTCTTTAATCGAGCCGCGCACGGTCCTCGATACTAACTAATGGCTGGTCTTTCTGACACGCTCTCCCAGTAGTAGAAACAGAGGAAAAGTGCAAAAGAAAGAAAGAAAGAAAGAAAGAACGGACGAACGAACGAACGAACGAACGAACGAACGAACGAACGAACGAACGTAACATTTTACAGTTATCCAACAACGAAACATCGTCGTTTGGGAACGTCGCCGCAAGCTGCGTCATCGGCACAACTTTTACACACTACCACAACCCACCACCCTTCCGCTCCACCGCGCCACCCCTGTTTACCCCTGTTTCTTTGAGATACTACGACCCTCTCTCTCGTTTCCCGTCTCGAAAATCCAATTATACAGACCCAACGCGCCTCGTCCTCTCGAAATTAGTTGAAACCGATCCTGTCTTTGTTGCAGATGGACATGAAGTCTGTCGGGTCGTTCTACTACGAGAACTTTGTAAGTGCAGAACCTAAACCTGAATCTCATAACTCATAACGGCTGCGATCCGTTGCCTCGCGCGTATCGCTCCCGCCGGCGCCGTTCGTACTCGCGATTAATTACTCGTAAGCGACATCTCTCGAAATAGGAGAGAGAGACGGTGCGCTTGCGCGCGCTGACCGCGCCAACTCTTCTCTCGCGACGAGACACGTAAATATCGAACGTGAATTCTGAATTCGGGCATTCGCCAGAAATCTGCAGTCGCGTATCGTCGAAATTTGCGCGCGATTGTCTCGCGTTGAGCTTCGCGTCGGAGCGACGCTCCCAAATTCGATTCGTCGGACGAAGAGAAGAGAGGAGGCTCGCTCGCTCGCTCGCTCACTCGCTCGCGATCAGAGCCTCTTCTCTCTCTCTCTCTCTCTCTCTCTCTCTCTCTCTCTCTCTCTCTGTGTGTGTTCCGCGACCGCTCGGTATCGTGGAAAACGTGAGAACGTGAGAAAAACTCCCCCAGCCAGCCCACCCCCTTCATCCACGATCGACGTCCCCCCGCCCGCGCCACACGGTTGGATGAAGAGAAGCCGTGAGCACGCAAGAGAGAACAGAGAGATACATGCGAGATCTCGTATCACACACCCCCGGCTGTGACAACCCAAGCCCGGAGTGCCGAGGCTTTCGCGCGGAGAGAGGAAGCTTCCGCTCGAGAGAGCGGCCCACGTCGCGGCCGTCGCTCGTCGCTCTCAGCCGCGACATCGTCTCTTTTTCTCTCTCTCTCTCTCTCTCTCTCTCCCCCCCTCTCCATCTCCCTCTCCCTCCCCCCTCTCTCTCTCTCTCTCCTCTCTCTCTCTCTCTCTCTCTCTCTCTCTCTCTCCTCGCCTTCTAATCGCCAATGTCTTGGCAATTCTTTTTTCAGACCTTCCCAGGGATGGTTCCGTATAAACGACCGGCGGCCGACAAGTCCGGCGTGCCGGTCTATCAGCCTACCGGCGCGACGACCTATCAGCAGTTAATGCAGCTGCAGCAGCCGTTCGTGCCTGTGTCATGTGAGTACACTGGAACACCACCCCTACCCACCCAAACCTCTAACCAATCGGTCGTGCAACCCCCCAACGTGCAAAGCAACCACCACGCGATGGTGGTGCAGTCGTCCTCCTCCCAGGGAGCCGCTGGCGCCACAGTCAATAACTGCGCCGACGCCAACAATGGCGTGCTGATGGATCCCTGCAACAATCCGCCGCCGCCACCTCCGACCGCCGACAATAACAGTAACAATAATAACGGCAATAACAAGCAGCCGGTTAGCGCGCAGAATCACGACGCCGAGAACGCGCGCAACTCCCCCGAATTGAAACACTCGAGCCCGTCGTCGTTGCAGCAGCAACAGCAGCAGCAGATACAGCAACACCAGCATCAGCAGCAGCAGCATCAGCAGCATCAGCAGCAGCAACACCAGCAGCAGCAACACCAGCAACAGATGAGCCAGCTGGCGTTGTCGGCGGCTGCCTGCGTGCCGCCGGCGATGAGTCCGTTGACCTCGATGGCCGGCGGCTTGAGCTCGATGCCCAGCATGGTGAACATGGCCTCGATGGCCTCCATGGCGAATATGCCGTCTATAACGAGCATGAGCTCCGTCGGCAGCTACAACGCCGCCGCCGCGGCGGCCGCCGCCTCCAACATGGCGGGTCTGAACATGCTCAACAGCCTCGGCATGGCGTCCGGTTTACCAGCCCCTCTCGATCCCGCGGCTCTCGCTAAAGAGGTCGCCCAGAAGAACTACGCCAAGGCCATCAAGCTGTCGCAGGCGCCGCAGTCTTACGCTGGCATCAGCCAGCTCGCCGCGCTCAATTACACCGGCGTGGCTCTCAATAAGCAGAACCTCGTGAATCCGGCCGCCGCTGCAGCCGCCGCCGCCGCCGCCGCCGCGGCGGCGGCCGGGAATCCCGCGGTGGCCGCTGGTCTGCAGGCCACCGCGACGACTCCCAGGCCGGTGATCCCGAGTCTGGCCGGTATCCCGGGCGCTCTGACCTCACCCGCCCTGTCCGCGGGCATCCTGGCGTACTCGAGACCGCCGCCCACGGCGACACCTATCAATCCCTATTCCCTCATCAGGCAGCAGATCCTGCCGAATCCCTACGTCCAGGCGTCGATACCGACCGTGCCTGGCGCGACCATGCAGACCTCACCCTACGTCCAGAATCCGTACGCCGTGTTGCCCGGGGTAGCGACCAGCGTGCCCGGGGTAGCGGCCGGCGTCGCAGCCGCGGCCGCGGCCGCGGGGGTGCCGCAGATACCGCAGATTGGCAATCCGGCGACGATAGCGGCGCAGCCGCAGGTGGCGATCCCCGTCAGCTCCGGCGTCATCATGCAGCCGTACAAGAAGATGAAGACGTCGTAAACGCAGCTCGCGCGGCACGCAGCAGCAGCAGCAGCAGCAGCAGCAGCCGTCTCGGGAGGGCTCTCGTCTCCCTCTTCTCTCGCAAGAACGACAGCCGGTCCCTTCCTCTGAGCGCCTTCCGTTCTCTCCCTCGCGATGAACGAGTCCACCGCGGCCGCCAGCCGCTCAAGTTTCGCCGTCGCCGCTGTCGCCGTCGTCGCGTCGACAGTGTTTTAGATAATAATTCTAGGGTGTCCTTGTACGATTAGCAGTCAATTATTTTACGTACACGTCCGAGAACGTGAACGCGCGCGCGCGCGCGAGAGAGAACGACCCCCGCGAGTAGAATTCCACGGGGTTATTTAGGTATTTAGCGAACAGTTTAGCGTTCGAGCGGCTGTAACGACACATACGTCCGGCGAGGGAATGGGAGGGGTGGGGGGGGGGCGGGGGCGGGGGCGAGGGGTTGCGATACCACGTCGAGTGTCGGAAAATTTGTCAGGGTGCACTGCGCGACGTATCAGTCCGGGCGAGATCAGGTGGGAATTAATTTCGCGTGGTGCGGGAGTGGGATTCGCGACACGCAGAATCGCGCGGAATTGTGCACACATACACACACACACCGGGTGCTTCGGCGAGAGACGCCCTTTTTCGTACGTTCTTATTCCCACGTTTTCCATATTCTATCGCTGACACAAGTAGCGCGAGCACGTGTTCCCGGTAAAAACAACTCGGTTTACAACTGAAAACGAGAGAAAAGAAGAAAAAGAGAAAAATCGAATTGCAATTGTTTTAGCTTTAATCTATTTAATATTACGAGAAAAGTCATGTTTAATTCATCAGCGGCGCGGTGGGAAACGCGGCGGTAGAAACGCGCGTGACATCGATATTAAATCGCCGGTGCCGGAGAAAAAGAGAGACGAAAAGAGAAAAAGAAACGAGAGCGAGAGATCCGGCCTTCGTTCGCGAGAGGGACAGAATGTTTAGCTGAGCGACTGCGGCGAGACGAGAAGTGGGGGGGGGGTGGATATGCTGGATACGAAGCAAAGGAAAAGAGAAAAGAAAAGACAAAAAAAGAAAGGAAGAAAAAGAAAACACACACAAGTTCCGAAAATAGATTCATTTTCTAGTCAGACATTGTCGGTGAACAGTGCCTTATTGACCCGATTCCATTTGGAGCGTTTTGAGCGTACAACTGTGCGACAAAGAGAAACGACGACGAGAGACAGAGAGAGAGAGAGAGAGAGAGAGAGAGAGGGAGAGAGAGAGAGGGAGAGAGAGAGAGAGAGGGGGAGAGAGAGAGAGAGAGAGAGAGAGAGAGAGAGAGAGAGAGAGAGAGAGAGAAGCGACGCGAGAAGATGCGGAAGATCCTTTCCCGTCATATCGCACGCTTGTTCGAGTGACTAAGGGAGAGATACGTGACTACCGTTCCGATCTTGTTTCTGTCGAAGTGAATCTGGAACGACTCGCGCTGGCCGAAAACCGCGCTCGACAACGGGAGAAGAGAGGGCGGCGGAGCCTCAACGGCGAGATACCGAGCGTGGTTGGAGCCACGCGGATTTATACACATTTAGTCCTTCGTTTTACATTTTAAGTTACGTTTTCGTAGGTTACGAAGAAAGCGGCGATCTTTGCGACGCACCTCCCGCGCGGAGGTCGCGCTCGAGCTTCTTTCGCCGATTTACTATTAGCGTTATATTTTATGATACAGTAGAGAACTATCGAAAGTGTTATGTATCGTTGCGTGACTTTGTTTTGTTTTCTTCTATCCATTTTCTTTCGTTTTTTTTTCTTTCTTGTCGTTTCCAACGATGGGGTAATTCGCGACAAATTAGTCAATTCGCGCCCGCGCCCGGCGCCGCAATATTTTTTTCCTTTTACTTCGGGATTACACAAATTTCTGTGTTATTAGCTGATTCGTCCAAATTTTAACGTGTAACGTCCGCCACAAGGAAGACGAAAAACAACGCTCGGCCTATTGTCACGTTATATGCGCGAGACACTTGCCTTTAAGTCCGTAGTGTTAATCAGCGTTTGCTCGCGCGATCGCGGAGAAAGTTCTCGAGATTAATATGATTATCGTCCAAAGTCGCGGATCGTTTTATTAAATCTTATTTCGCTTGTTTATGTACGCTAGCAAAAATTGGAGATTTTATTCGCTCGTTTATTCGCGGATGTCCCGTTAACGAGGCAGTCGTAAGAATAATCGCGTTTTTTAGCGTTACTTAGCGCGTGTTGTTGGGAGAGAAAGAAAGCTATTTTCTTCGTTGTCGTACCGATGGATCGAAGTTGCGCCGTGAATTATTAATTAACACGAGGCTCGTGCCGCGAATATATTTGTTAATGTTTACCGATCAGGTTGTTTAACAAAATTTTTACTAATTTGACTCGTATCTTTAATTGTTTAGTTTAAGAGTATATCACACCATGTGATATAATGTATGTTTCCTAGAAACACCTTGCACACATCAACGCGCATAAACTCGATCGAAAAGAGTGCGACTCTTTCGGCGGGTCCTTAGTTGTCCTATATAGTTGTATACGTAGAATTTAGATATATATATATGTGTATGTGTGTGTGTGTGTGTGTGTGTGTGTGTGTGTGTGTGTGTTTGTGTGCGTGCGTGCGTGCGTGCGTGCGTGCGTGCGTGCGTGCGTGCGTATGTGTGTGTGTGTGTGTATACTCATATATATGCACATACATATATATATATACATATATATATTATTTATATATATATATATATAGTCGTTCGTTTTACATAGCGTACACATATTTAGCGTTAAGCGTGCTCGGACACAACGTACTCTTCTATCCTGACGGATTCAATTCGGGGGAGTTTGTTGCACACGATGTGAACCTCGTCAATTGTGACCTACGAGCTTATGCATTTAGCCGAATGAGAAAAAATGGAAAGAGAGAGAGAGAGAGAGAGAGAGAGAGAGGGAGGGAGAGAGAGAGAAAAGAGGAAAGGACAAGTACAGAGCACGAGAAAAAGGAGAACGAAAAGGAGAGAAAGAAAAACGAGAAGAAAACGCAAGAGAGGCGAGAATGAGAAACGGCGTGTCCGCGAAATACGCGGATGCATTTACGCGGAGAGTTCGAGAGTTTGAACGGGAGGAAGAGAAAGAGTAAAAACGGTCGGTCTAATTTCGGAGGCGGTGCGACGGGAGGAGAAACGTCTCGTCAATCACCCTTCGAAGGTGGAGGGAAAAAAAAAACGAGTTCACATGCGCATCATTGTACACGACCGCACAAACATTACACCTAAGACACTCACACGACTTACATGATAGACACTGCGTATATTTTTATTAATCAATTAACGGCGGGGCAAGGAGAGGAGGAGGGAGGAAGGGAGACGTTAGCACACCAAGAGAGATTAGTGTGCTTTCTGCGAGAAAACACGAAAAAACGCATGCGGAAACGCTTTCTCTCTCTCTCTCTTTCTCTCTTTCTCTCCCTCTCTCTCTCTCTCTCTCTCTCTCTCTCTCTCTCTCTCTTTCTTTCTCTCTCATTGCCACGCGTATCCGCGTTCACGTGTCTGCCAGTGATTTGAAAGTTTGTTTAAGTCCGGATGCACAGCTGAAAAACATCTATATGCGTACATACATGCGCGTGTACATGTGTTTGTAAATAATTTTTTTCTCTACATATATAATGAAAAAAAAAAGGGAGCGGAAAGGGAGAGCAGATATCGGTCGCATGCATTAGATACATATATATATATATATACACAGGCATGTACATATGTATAAGTGCGCACACATGTACGGAGAGCACTCGCTGGCACGTATAGCGGGGGAATAAACGAAACGGCCGGTCGTATCGTAATTTCGCGGACTGGAAAACCGGACGAACGAATTGTACGACGGTAGGAATTTGTGTACTCGAAAACGCGGAAGAACAGAATGAGGTATTTTTCCGAGGAACCCGGCGCGTACACGTACGAATGTATACATATACGTTATACGTTCTCTGCGCGAGCGAGATTTACTCTTTCGGCGTAGCTTCGGCAAAAATTCACTCCGCGCCAAGTTCGCGACGGTATATGTATATGTGCGTGCGTACACACACACACGCACACACACACACACACACACATATTCAGCTGAATGTGAATCGCGCGATTCTAATTTTAATCCCCTCGTCCTCGTCGTATAACGCGACTCGAGAGAGATGGAATTGCAATCACCGGCAAATTTATTCGGATTGCGTTATACACCGCATCTTTCGTCGGCGTGAGCGAGGGGAAGCGCGGACGACATGCAGAAGGAGCCTGTGCATTTCCTCGATGCCTCCAGTTCTTCCGCGATATTAGAAACAACTTCTTCCGACGGGTCACAATGTGTCACCTCCACGCACAAGACTGTAGAACGTTTCAACGACTCTAGAGACCGCGACGGCTCCGTACTCGCGCGGTACTTGGATCACGAAGCAATTCACGAATATCCTGTGTCTCACAGTGTATCTCTCTCTCTCTCTCTCTCTCTCTCTCTCTCTCTCTCTCTCTCTCTCGCTTGCCCATTCAATATCAACCGTTGTCTACGAGATCTCATCATCTTTGAATTACGCGCACGCAGATAACGCGGATTTAACAGTCTGACGAGTGTGTGATCGCTTCCAAAAGAGAGAGAGAGAGACTCTCCTCCCATAGTCTTGTCCATATCTAGTCTTGAAGACTGAAGTTCGCCACAAGTCGTTGTTCCATTCGAGCGCCGATCAACCAACGATATTATCATGAACGTTCAAGGACTCATTTCGTATATTCGTGATCCGCGAACTGATACCGTAACGCGCCAGGCAGAACAACGTCGAGTCTCATTTGAGATCCGCGATCCTAGAGACGACGCGGAGAAGCCCGAGTCGTCGTCGCTCTAGAGTCGGAATCGGGAATTCTCGAGAGAGTGTACCATGGTCTTCCATAACGAACGCCACGCGAGAGAGAGAGAGAGAGAGAGAGAGAGAGAGAGAGAGAGAAAGAGAGAGAGAGAGAGAGAGAACCTTCGAGGCGAACGTTGCTGTTTCGTACCGCTTCGCGCGAGCGCTCTGGGGATTTGCACGAAGCGCGCTCGTCCCGGGAGAAGAAATTGTTTCTAGCCTTATATATATACGACGAACGCGAACGCGCGCGTGCGGGCGATCTTTTGTGATAATATGTAATGTATTAACACTATCACATATAGACACATACACACACACACACACACACACGCGTACACACGCATACAGCAGTCTCGCAAAAGCGTGGGCACCGGAGAGTACAATAGGATCTCACAGCCCTTTCGGTGACCTTGCATGGCGCCAATCTAACATACATACATAGACACACACACACACACACACGACCGGTATTTATGACGCCCATAAGAAGATCGTACACGTCGCGGCATTGAAAAAGAGCCCGAGAGGGTGAGACGGCCGTGT